GACAGCACCTGGGCCTCAGGTGGCCCTCGGATGGCCCTGGCATCGTCGAGCACGGTCGGATTCTAAAGGCTATCGTTGACATCCCTTCCTGGCTCCCCCTCGTCGTTATGTCGGTTTACTTGAAATCAGGCACTGGGCTTTGTGAGCTCAACCTGAGGTTGCTTAAGAAAATCGGTCAGGCTTTGCAGCACGAGCACCTCTTTTTGGCGGGCGGGGACTGGAATCTGGCTCCCAGTCTCATTGAGTCAGTTGGCCTGCCCCGCCGCCTCGAGGCCATCTTGTTCGTGCCTAAGGAACACACGTGTGTCAGTCCCTCCTCCCTCACTGCCCTTGATTTCTTCCTGGCCTCCAATAGTTTTTCGAGGGCGGTTGAGGGTGTGAAGGCCGATGTGACGTGGACGGGGCGGCCCCACAGGCCAGTTCAGTTGCAACTTCGTGATCGTGCTGTGTCGTTGTACCAGTTAACTTACAGGTCGCACCAACGACTTCCGTGCGAGCTGCCAGTGGGACCGTCCCCTTGCCCGCAGAATTGGAGCATGGCTCGCGACATCGCCGAATGTGCGGCCGATGCGGCTATTTCTGCTCCCGTCGGCGAGGCTTGGGAACGTTTGAGCCAAGCGTGGGTGTACTTCTCCAATGCCCTCGAGCTCGAGCTCGAGTCCTTTACGGGTGTCCCAGTTACCAGCAAGGGCCACAAGGGTTCTAGGTTGAAGGCGCGTTGGATTCCCATTTTTCTCGTCCTAAAGGTAATGCCACGAACCTGGTTTTTGTTGGTTGGGAATGGTTGGCCCAGCAGCTTCGTGAAACCCTCGGGGCCTGTCGTCGTTTCCAGGAGGCGGAGCAAGGGATTGACCAGGACCCTAACAAGCTCGATCAATTGTGTCAGGACGTGAATCAGCAGATGCAGCTTGTTGTTGCTCAGCCATGCCCTGGAGAGGGACTCAGCGCGCGCCTGGACAGCACGATTGCACAGTCTCGTGAGCTCATGCGCCGTGGGTCCGCTTCTTCAGCCACGTGGCTGACTGACCTTGACGAGTTCCTCCAGTCTTGGGAGGACGACTACGATGAGGCTGTCAAGGCCATCAAGAAGGGGAGGCAGGACTCATGGGATGAATGGCAGGAGAAAGCGTTACGGGGAGGGGCTAGGGCTATGCACCGCCTTACCAAACTGAAACGTCGGTGGACCCCTACCACGATCGAAACTCACCCTGGCATTTTTTTCAGCCAGCCCTCGGGACCTGCTCGAGGCCGAGAGCGAAGCTTTGGCTAGCTTTTGGCATGCCAGCACGGCGCCATCTAGTGTGTGGGTTCCAAATAGGAATCATCTTCCGAGGCCAACTGCAGGAGAGATCCGCAGCGCCAGCGCCAGCTTCTCGGCGCTCACCTCCCAGTCGCTCGACGGGCTGCACCCGCGGCAGCTCTCTTTGGTCTCTGATGCGGCCCTCGACACCTTCGGCGCCCTCGTTCAGGCTATTGAGTCTTTGGGGCTGTTCCCCAAACAGTTGTTCTGGTTACTGTTCCCTTTGCCGGAGAAACCCAAGGGCGGGCTCCGACCCATCCTGTTATGCGCTGGGCCCGTCCGTGTCTGGGAACGCCTCCGCAGACCTTGGCTCACCGATTTTAACGACCGTTTCCCCCGACGCTGTTGGGCCTTCGGCCCTGGCCGCAGCCCCGAGGATGCTGCGTGGCATCAGGCGGCGGCCAGCGAAGTGGCGGCTCAGACGGGCCAAGTGTCTCTTGGGGTGATCTGGGACGGCACCAAGTACTACGAAAGCTTCGATTTGGTTTTGCTCAGGGATCGTGCTCTCAAGTTTGGGTTCCAGGAAGTCATTGTTAAGACCACCTATAACTTCTGGCGAGGACCCCGAATCGTTAGGCTTGGCAGCATGTATGGCACGATCCCCTACTTCGCCACGTCGGGCCTACCCGCGGGTGACGGATTTAACGACCTGTTTGTCCGTGCGTACAGCCTCGAGGCCTTCGACGGCTACGCGATGGCCAACCCACTCGTCCCTCTCTCCTCCTATGTCGATGATGATGCTCTGACGACGCAGGCGGATACGGAACAGGAGGCTCTCAGTCGTATGGCCCAGGCGTGTGCGCACATGTACGTTATTTTCCGCGACAGTTTGAAGGTCGGCCTCCAGGCGGATAAATTAACCACGTTTGGGAGCTCTTTCTTTGGCTAGAAAGCTTGGCGCTTTGCTCGGCCAAAAGGATGGCCTTGTCACGAACAGCACCGTTTCTCTTGGCACTGATTTCGCCCCTGGCCAGGTGAGGTCGGCTCGTAATGCCCTTTGGAAACGCCGATCCCGTTTCGATCCTATGTTTAAGCGTCATAAGAAGTTGCAGAAGATGAGGAGCCGACTCCCTCGACAGAAGGGCCGAATCGGGAAGATATATGTGGCTGGCGTTACTCCTGCTGCCACTTTCGGATCGGCCGTCGTTGGTTTGAGCGACTGGGAGTTGTCCCAGGCCAGGCGTGTCCTCCTCTCCTACAAACCCCCTTTTCACCGTGGTTGTTCCCTTACGGCCAAACTTGCTTTGCATGGGGACCCCGTCGACCGTGCCAGCGTGGCCCCCGCGGTTCATTGGGCCTCGATCGTCTGGACGGCCATCACTTCCCCCGCGACTTCCTACTACACGGTTAAGGAAGTCTGTCAGATGTGGTGCCGAGTGCCTTTCGACCAAGATGTGAGTTGGAAGAGCTCGAGGGGGCCCATCCAGAGAATGCATCTGTGCCTCTCTCGCGTGGGCTGGTGTGCCACGTCTGCTCTCACTTGGGGGGACGACTACGGTCGCGAAGTTCACCTCGGTTTCAATTCTCCCAGCATGGTGAGTCATTTACTTAGGCTGGCCACCCAGCGCAGTTTTGAACGGAAGCTGGCTTCGGACATCGTGAATGTTCCTGGTCACCGTGTGACTCTTGACCCCTTGCAAAAACTCCTGGGGCCCAAGTCTAAGGTTTTGACCGATCGGGAAAAATACCTCGCCAGCTCCGTTTTCTGTAGTGGAGTTTGGACCCGCACGCGAGCTCGCGCGGCAGGTTACGTTGTGTCAGCATCAGACGGCGCGGACTGTCCGAGCCGAAACTGCGGGGGAACAGCTTGAGCTTTTTCAGGAGGCCCTGGAAAGTGAAGATCGGTTTTTATGGGACGAGCTCAAACTCGAACATCCCGAAACCCTCCACCCCCCTCCGTCCAACCACCCTGCCCCCACCCTCTACTCGGCCGAGGGGGCCGAAATCGAGTGGGGATCCGTGGACTTGCGAGGGTGCGAAGTGTGCATGGACGGATCCTGTCTCCGTCATGCGGTGCGCGAGCTTAGCCGTGCTGCGTATGCGTGGGTTTTTCTGGGCCCAGGTGAAACCATTTTGGCCTACGCTAAAGGAACTGTATGGGACGTTCTTCCCCAGACGCCGCAGGCGGCCGAGCACCAAGCCATGGCCTGCCTGCCCATCTATGTAGAGTACACGGGTACTCGCATCAGTGACTGCATGACAGTGGTCAAGCTCTGCCTCACCAGCCCGACGCACCAGACGTCGGCCAAGCACCGTTATGCAGGCATGAGACGTGGGGCACTGCTACATGAAAAACGTGATCATGACATTGTCGTGCAGCACACACCAGCGCATCGGTCGCAAGAGGTTATCGATTCGCTCTCGCCCGTGGACAATAGGATCGCCGTTGGCAACAGTCTCGCTGACTCGCTCGCCAAACATGCCCTCTCCCTCCACCCTCGTCCCTCGAACCTGAATTCGGACATTATCGAGTCGAATTTAGTCAAGTTGCAATTCGCGGCCAGAGTTCTGGCCAAAGTTTTGTGTGTTTTCGAGGTTGAACGGTTTGAACGCTCCTCTGCGGGGCCCCGCGCGCGCTTCCTCAAGTCAGGGGGTTGGCACGCGTGGGAACCCCTTGAGCAAGGCCGAGCGCGGTGTCTGAGATGCCTAACTTTTTGGAAGGACCCGTCCACCAGACCAATGATCGGCTGCCCTGGGCCCAGCAAGACCTGGCGGGGGGTCCTCGATTTCAACAAAGGCCACACGCTAGCGCATACGCGTGTGACCAAGAACGATGTCGAGGCCACTATGTTTTTCTGCACGACGTGTGGGGCCTACACGGCCAAGAGGTGTTACCTGCTTGGCCGCGACTGCCCGCTGCGCAGGCTGTCAGGGGCCCCCACGACTCTCCGTCGCATCTTTGACGGACAGCACCCTCATTACAGGGAGGAGGGGGCTCGTCTCAGCGTGTCGAGTCGCCGTGGAGCGGCCTACATGCAGTACGCTGCGGCTCTGCCGCCGCCGCCTGACGTTCGCCAGCCTCTGCGTGGGATGGAGTCCCTGCCTCAGACTCCAGGCATGCGCGCTCTCGTTGCACGTATTCAGGCTCGGGAGGCTGCTGCGAAGGCAGCAACCCCCGCAATGTTTCTCGAAGCCGCAGCCGCGGCCGCTAAGCCTTTAGCATCGGTCCTGCCCTCTGGGATTGCAGAGAAAATCCTCCCCCTCCTCCTCCTCCTCCTCCTCCTCCTCCTCCTTTTCCTCCTCCTCCTCCTCCTCCTCCTCCTCCTCCTCCTCCTCCTCCGGGGGGCACTCCCCCTCCCAACCTACTCTAGCCTTGATCACCAGAAGGAATTGCGAGCACCAAGCAGATACCGAAACTTGAGGGTGTTCACGTGTCGGGCTCTGGGAGGCGACACTCGTTCGACACTGCTTCGATAGTTCCCTGAGCGCTTGCTTGCAATTATTTCTGGGATGTGGTCCTCAAGTGCGATGGGAGCTACATTTTAGTCGGGCGTGTCCTTTCACAGCAGGAATATTACAAAATAGTATCAAAAACAGTCTGGGAACGATTTGTTTCTGCATTCTGTAATTTGTTGAAGTGTGTTCTGGTACTTCTGGCTTGTCGTCCAAATTCTGTCTGTAGGAGAATATGCCCGACCTAAAGCTACACAGGGCAAGACCTAGCACCTGGGGGCGGGGGGGAGGCTGGGCACACCGAGAGGCCACCTCCACCATGTTCGTCTTCGGCGGCCAGGGCTCCGACTTCGCCTACAGGAACGACCTGTGGTGCTACGACGCCGTGTCTCAGGTCTTTTCCTGGGCCACCTCCTCCTCCTCCTCCTCCTCCTCCTTGTCCTCCTCCGCCTCCGCCTCCTCCTCATCCTCTCGCCTTCTTCCGACATGGTCCTCTTCCTGCCTGCCTCCTGCCTTCTCCCCCCGCCTTCCTGCCCCACCCCCGCTCCTCCACCCCGCCCCCCGTCCTCTCCGGGCCTCTTGGCCGGGCCGGGGGTACATCCAGGCCCCTGACGACGAAACCCCTCGACGACGGGGAGGTGCCAGGCAGACCTAAGGGTGAGGACAAGCCGCCCCAGCCTGCTCCAGAACGCTCTCAGGACGTTTCGGAGCGATTCGGGTGCGTTGGCCACGAGTCCAGAGCCAAATACGGTGGAGGCGTCTGGTAAGGAATAGCCCCAGGAGGCGCCGGACCCTGGAGGCTTCCTCATCTGACGAGGGCGACGGTGATATCTCCATGGCCACTCCGCGATTGGAGTTCCCCTGGCTTCCAGACCCTGGACTCCTTATCGTAAGGGTTCCTTCTCCAGTGCCCCCGCCGTAGCGCACTCGGAGGTCCGCATCGGCTGCGTGGGCGGGCGCTGCCCCCCCCCCCCCCGGCGGCGCGCCGTGCGGGCCTCCGAAAGCCTTGTGCTCGTGTTCTTCGGGTGACGTAGCGCACATAGGGGAGGAAGCCTCCTCCCTCCCTGCCTCCCTCGTGAACGAAGGAAGCACCAAGTGGGGCGAATCCTTCCCCATCCCCTGTCCCACGAAGCGGAAAAGCAACAACAACAACACCAACCACAACAACAACAACAACAACAACAACACCAACAACAACCACAACAACAACAACAACACCAACAACAACAACAACAACAGCAACAACAACAACAGCAACAGCAACAACAACAACAGCAGCAGCAACAACAACAGCAGCAACAGCAACAACAACAACAACAGCAACAGCAACAACAACACCAACAACAACAATCATCATTTTAAGACTGTACGCCCTTATCTGCTCGAGTGTCCAATAACGCGTATTTCCCAAACCCTCGATACCCGCCCTCTCCGTCTTCGATCGAACCCCTTTTTGGGGGTATACCTTTCTTCCCTGCAGGCCAGGCCCTGGCAAGCGGCCGGGCGGCCGCGGACCGTCGGCCTGGCCAGCGGCAGCGCTGATCGGCGGGGCGGCCGCGGACCGTCGACCCGACCCCCAGAGGGACGAACAGGGGACCGACCACGACGAGGACGACGACGACGACGACGACGACGACGACGGCGACGACGACAACGACGGCGACGGCGACGACGACGACGAGTGAAAGCGAGAGCGAGAGAGAACGACAGCAGGGCCACGAAGGACACGAAGTAGGCCATGAAGGGCGACAGCGGGGACACGAAGAGAATGCGCATGGGGCCACGAAGAGCGCGAACGAGCGGGGGCCACGAAAGGCAGATAATGCGGGGCCCCAGAAGGCAACGATGGGGCCACTGAAGGTAGCAATTGGGCCACGTAGGGCAGTGATGGGGGCCACACACGGCGACAGCGGCGCGAACGAGCGGGGGCCACGAAGTGCATACGTATATTGGGCCGCGGAGGGCAATAACGGGGCCACTGAGGGCAACAACGGGGCCGCGAAGGGCAGCGAGGGGGCCACGAAGGGCGACAGCGGGGCCACGAAGGGCATGCATATGGGGCAACCACGGGCGCGAACGAGCGGGGGCCACGAAGGGCATACATCTATGGAGCCACGAAGTGCAGCGAGGGGGCCACGAAGGGCTGCAACGGGGTCACGAAGGGCAGCGAGGGGGCCACGAAGGGCTGCAACGGGGCCACGAAACAAAGCGAGGGGGCCACGAAGGGCTGCAACGGGGCCATGAAAAGGCAGCGAGATCCCGATTCCTAGATAATGTGTGAGGGAATCCTAAGCGTGAGCCCGACTCCTGGGTGCCTGGGTGTCGGGAGCGCGGCGCTTGAGTAAATTGCAAGAAAGTCCAACGCAGGGGCGCTAGTCTATAGTAAATTGCAAGCAAATCTCCAGCGAGAGCGCGTCTCCGGAGCGCCGGGAGAGCGATTCCTGAAACAAATGTTGGGAAGCCCAAAGCGCGAGCGCGATTCCTGAATAAATTGCGAGGAGGTCTCGGGCGGGAGCGGGGGTCCTGGCTAAATTGTGAGGAAGTCTCAGGCGGGAGCCGTTGTTGTTTGTAAACGGGGGGCCAGCAACACAGTTTGACGCTCAAGACTTTCATTGGAAAAAACTTGGAACAAAAAAAAAAAACACAAGGTGCGAGCCCCGGGAAGGGCACTTCAATCGAAAAAACAATGTGCACCGGACGGGGGGATCAACAACAATTATTCTTCAGAAGTGAGAGTTCAACAGCAGCAACAGCAACAACAACAACAGCAGCAGCAGCATCAACAACAACAATCATTTTAAGACTTACTGGTACGCATGTCTTGCATTCCGTAAACCCCAACCCTCGATATCCGGCCACCGCGTCTTCGATTGCACCCCCTTTCGGGGGGAATCTCTTCCTTGTCGGCCACTGACTGAAGTGGGAAGAAGCCTCGAGCGAGAGCGCCGTTCGTGAGTTCGGGGGCCTTTCTGGCCAGGGTTTTCGGAATAACTATGGAGAAATATCGAACGGGAGCCCTTGGCGCCGTGTCCGGGCCTCCACCAACTTGCTTGAACTACGGGGAAGTCTCGAGCGAGAGCGCCGTTCCTGAGTTCGGTGGCCTTCTTGGCCAGGGGCTCTCGAGGTACATCGTGAGGAAGTATCGAGCAGGAGCTGTTGTCGTCGTGGCTGGGCCTCCGCCAACTGAATTGCATTCTTTACGCTTCGCATATCCCCACCAGCCCATCTCACAGCAGCAACTCTTGCGAAGCATACCGACAGTCGTGTTTTTCAGGCGTGTGTCCGCTTGGCCCCGCATATGTCCCCTGTTCTTCTTTCCTCCCGTCTCCTTGTACATCCTCCTTGTGGGGGGAGCGGGAGAAGGACGAGGCGGAGGAGGAGGGAGAGAAAACGCTCCTCGTGATTTGAGTCGTTTGGGGTTTCTCGTCCTGGTGTGAGTCGTTCGGGCCCTTCTTCCTGGTGTGAGTCGT